TTGGAATCCAGCCTTAAAGGAAAGTCTATAGAGGTGATGGTGACTACGTCTTGCAAGGTAATCTATGAAGAGTTTGAGCCTGTTGAACCTGAAGAAGTAGACAGGGCTCTCTTAGCTGCTAGTTCGGCCACTTGTGTGTCATGCCCCTTCTGATTAAGGCCTTGCAGGAGGGGATGTGTTGAGTGGGTTTGGGCAATAATAAGTTCTCCTTGAGAGAGGGAGTGGTGCTGCCAGCTCTTAAAAAGGCTCTGGTGCGCCCCCTCCTCAAGGACCATTGATTGACCCAATAGCCTGGACAGTTTCTATCTGATATCCAACCTCCACTTTCTAGGGAAAGTGGTGGACAGAGTGGTTGCATGGCAACTTCAGAAAACTCTGGAATAAGCAGATTATCTAGGCCCCTTTCAGTAGTGGTTCAGTCCAGGTTTTGGACCTGAGATGGCATTGATCATGGTCATAGATGACCTCTCCTGGGAGTGGATAAAAGTAATGCATCCATCCTGGCTTTTCTTGACATCTCAGTGGCACTTGATACCATTGATCATGGTATACTTGTGGCTGGCCTCAGGAATGGGTGGCACTGTATGGTGCTGGTTCTCCTCCCTCCATGGTCAGTTGATGGAGGGAGAGAGATCTAGCCCACATCCCCTACTTTGCAGGGTGTATCAGGGTTCTGTTCTCTCTCTCTCTGTTCAATCTTTACATGAGACTGCTAGGTGAGGTGATTCATTGGTTTGTGGTGAGACATCATCAGTATGCACGTGACACCCAGCTTTATATCTCTACCCCAGGCCTCTTGAGTGATGCTCTGGATATCCTATCCCAGTGTCTGAAAGCTGTTGGGGACTGGATGGTGAAATGAGCTTTGGCTCAACCTTAGCAAGATGGAGTGACTGTGGGTATTTGAACTCCCGTGAGTCACGGTTCTTCCACCTCTGGTTCTGGAAGGGATTTCACTGCCCCAAACAGACCCACTGCGCAATCTGGGGTCCTCCTAGACTCACAGCTCCTGCTCAAAGAGCAGGCAGCAGCAGAGGGTAGGAGAGCCTTTTCATACTTCCGACTGATGTGCCAGTTGCAGCCATACCTGGACCAGGAGGTCTTGCTCACACCAATTCACACACCCTTGTAACCTCTGGGTTAGACTACCTTAACACATTCTACGTGGGGCTTTCCTTGAAGACCATTCAGAAACTCCAACTGGTGCAGAATGTGGTTATGCAGGAAGTAAATGGTGCCAGATATATGACACATGTAACACCACTCCTGTGTGAGCTGCACTGGTTATCGGTATGTTTCTGGGTACAATTCTGGATTCTTGTAGTTACCTGTAAAGCCTACATAGCTTGGGACTGGGGTACCTGAGGATTGTCTTTTTTCAAGAGTCTTTACCCATCCAACTAGGTCAAACATGCTACAGATCCCATCAGCAAAGAATGGCCCTTACTGTATGGAACATCCTCCCTTCAGAGATCAGAATGGCCCCCACCCTGTTAGCCTTTCATAAGGCCTTAAAAACCTAACTATGTTCCTGAGCCTCAGGTGCTGAATGTGCTAAGGGTCTGGTTTTCTGACTATATTGCTAACCAGGTTAAACACCTTGCTCTTATGTATCTTAAACTGAATGCTTTTAATTATTTTTAAATGTTTAAATTTTTAGTTGTAATATATTTTATAAGCTGTAAGCTATCAGATTCATTGACTGAGATGGGCAGTCATAAAAAGGAAACAAATAAAATCAAATAAAACAAACAAACAAACAAACAAAAGTCCAAATAACAAAAACACACCTGGGCAGGAGACAAAAATGGAAGAATAGTCACATAGGATGATAATTCTTTCCCATTGAAAATCCATGAGATTTACAAAAAATTGTCTTTAGGAAAATTCATGTTTTATAATAACTGAAATATTCTACTTTCAGACTTATAATGTTAAAGTACATGGTGATTCTATTCCATATATTTATTACCACTTGAATATCTTATTTATTTATTTAAGAAAAATTATATGGCAAATTTTCATCTTGTATGAAAAGTCCATATCAAATAGCTGCAGCATTATTTTAAAAACTTTTTCAATTTTCATAGCCATCACATACTTTAAGCAAAAAGATGGCTGTGTTTAAATTTAAATTTTGATGAGGTAAGTTTATATATAAGTTTATTCTTGCATTAATGATCCTAAAACTCTTAGTGTGATAAGATTAACAGATTTCAGTTCCACTTCAACAAAAAGTAGGATAGCCTTATCTTTAAAAAGTAGTTAGCTGCAATTTTAGTTTACTGAAAAGACAACATCAAATCTTGAATTATGAATTGGCTTATTTTCATAAACTGTATTGATGAATTGCCGCATTTCAGATTTATATTGAATGCTAAACTATAAGACAGTTCAAGTGAAGGCTTAGAATAATCACATTAGGAATATCCAGAAATGAATGTGGAAATAGCCCATTCATATACATTGAATATTGTTGTAGCTGAATTAATTCCTCAAATTCAGGTTTTTTTATGAGTTAGATATTATGTGTTTTACTAGAAATCAGTTTTAAAAGTGAGGTATCTAACACTGAAGAAGGTATAATTTCCTATGTGAATGTAGATAATATTTATTGTACTAATTATTCAATGTATAATGCTAATGCATGATCTACTGTATAAATTACAATTGAGATGCTGCCCTAATTCTGGCTACTTTTCTCCCATCTTTCTCAGCCTGTCATTCCTATATTTACAAAAAATCTACGAGAAGGATACAGAGCACTCGGGAAAATATGTAAGAAAAATTCAACTTGCATATCTACTCATTGTGCCGAAGCATTTTTTATGGAAGAAAATCATGCTGATTTCAACTGGATTTCTATTTAATTGTGTTTTGACTGTTGATCTTAGATTTAAAAATGTTCTAAAGTTTTTGTTTTCATATATCCATCTATTTCTCCGTCTCTTTTTGGCCTTATTATTTTGGCCTTATTATTTTGTTTTCCTATGTCTTTGCTTCTCTTTCTTTTTATCTGTGATTCTTTTTGTTGTGTTATCTTTAATTTTTTTCAGGTGTACAAAAGTTGTGTAACAAATGCAGCTTTATATTAGCTATAATTTAGTTGCATTTTTAGTTGCATATTTATACTGATGGAAATTAACAAGATAAAATGGCTAATTTTATATAGAATTAGGACTTTGACATTTGCTTTGCATAATGACTGAGGCATGCATTTCTATATAATTAAGATATAACTGCATGGACTTAGTTTCTTTCCAATCAGGGCACTTCGAATATTGTTTAGCCCACACCATGTTGTTGTTGGAACATGACCATATTTTTGATTTGCACACAGGGCCATTCAAATGGTTGTATGAACGTACACGATGGCCAATTGTTCCTATATATGGTGGATTCCCTGTGAAATTTTGCACATACATAGGAGATCCCATTCCTTATGATCCAAATATATCAGCTGAAGAATTAGCTGAAAAGGTAATTTAAATGAACTGCAGAAACTTCAATTATAATATATGTCGTTATTGATATTATTATTTGTGAGTCTTTATACAGTACAAATGTGATATTGTTCAGTTCAGCACTTCATTATTCATAGTGGCTTTTAAAAAGTATAATATGAATGTAGTTTACACATTTTCCAGAGGAAGAAAATAAGTTATTGTAAAAGTTTTTTTCCCCATTCTTTACTCTTTTACAGACCAAAAGTGCAATAAAAGATCTCAGAGATAAACACCAAGAAATACCGGGTAATGTACAAAAGGCACTATTGGAACGGTTAGAAAAACACCCAGAGAAATAATGCCATTCTGATTGTGAAAATGACACCATTCATCCCCACCAAGAAATATAGTGATTTGAGATTTTTTAGAAAAAAAAGTTCACTTCAGTCCCTAAATTTTAATATATGTATATTAAATATGCAAATGGAATATCTATTTGTTGCTTGTTTGTAATTTGAGATTTGTAGATTTATTGTGTATATTTCACATATAGAAAAGGGATATGGGTTTGATGATCTGAACTTCTTCACATAAATATCTTTAGTGATGACCGACCTTTTTCCTGTATTTACATCATTTAATAAATATTGTTCTACTTAAAACTGGAAAAGAAAACTTCTTATCCCTGAAAAAATAAATTCAGTGGAACTCTACTTTTTTTAATAGTACAGAGATGTGTAAATTTATACAAGATTTAATTCAAAATTCATATGTAAGATTCTATTCATATTTTAAACTGATTCAGAATTTGATTTGATCAGATTCAACTATAGCCTATAATGAAGAAACATTAAAACTCTTGCAGCTACTTCATATTTAATGATTAATTCATTAAGGAGGAGAAATAGAGAGACTTAGCAGGATAGGGTGAAAATGGTATCTTCTGTCTACCTACTGCCTGCTTTTGGGCCATATAGGAACACACAGAAGCTCAGATTTGGCCCTGCAGCCATAGTTTGCTGACCACTACTTTAGGCAACTAGCATGGCATTAAAATCAGAACAACAAAATAAAAAAAAATACAGGCTGCCAAGCACCCAAATTTTGCTCATGTGACCATGGAAGTGATGCAGTGCCTGTTACCTCAGGGACTGAGCCTAAGTTTCATTTGCTCAGTGCCACTGTTACTTCAAACAGCTGCTGAATGAATGGTCTAAATTCGAGGATTACTTGTATAAACAATAACATCACAGTTAATCACATATTCTAAATGAGCTATCCTTGAAGAGCATCTGTAGCTTCAGCACGTGCAAAATGCAGTGGTACAACATTCAGGTGTGCTCCTCCTGAATTACAGCTCCTCCACACGTTACACTTCTCTCCTGGTTACCAGTTTGCTTTCAGGGTCAATTGAGGATGCTAGTAATAGCCTACGAAGGTCCTTATGTCATAGGTCTGGATAATTTGAGGGGCTGCATATCCCTGGTTACATCTATCCATCTCATCAGATCTGGCAAAAAGGATGTACTATGGATCCCATGTATTGGACAGGCCTTTTCTCTCACAGCCTATGCCCTTTGGAACATCATTTTCCCCAGACTGGTGCTGTTTGTTTTTTGAAAGTCTTTAAAGCAAGAGTTCCTAAACCTTTTAGTGCAATCTTAATGTACACATCTTTAAAAATCAAAACAGTAAAATAGACACAATGAAAACAATACAAAACCTTGGGAATCATGGACTTCTTATAACCATGTTACTAAAATTTCTTTAACCCTCCTCTGGCCTCTGTCTATACCTCCATATCTCACACTTTAGGAAACACAGTTGGCCTGAGTGCTTGTAAATCATGCTGCAATTCTTGTTGTAGGCTAGTCTATGTATGTGTATGTGTGTATGTGTGTGTATGTGTATGTATGTATGTATGTATGATAAAATGTGTGCTGAAGAAAAGTAATTCAACTGTTGTTATAACAGTCACTTATGTAGTCATGTTTTGCTGAATTCTGTTAAATGCTCCAAGACTCTTTCACAAACTCACAGACTCTTTCACAAATATACTCATGAAAGCTTGGACTCTAGCAGACTTAGGAGACTATAATTTCACACTGAGTCAGGACATTGTTTTAACTCAGCTTTCCTCACTTTGCTTCTCATTAGATATGCTGTGTTTCAAATCTTAGGAATTCTAGTCAATATGTCCAGTTGTCATTGCTGACATTTTGAGCGCACCAACCTGAATAAGGCTATTCTAATTTGATGGATCATTTGATGGAAAGTAAGTTAAAAGATCAATGCAAGATTTATTTAGAAGAATACTTTTTAAACATTTTTTTCTCCCAGGAACCCTTTACACTTTAAAATTTATGGATGATCTCAAAAGAGTTTTTTATTTATATGAATTATATTTATTATTCCCTTCCCTCAACAAAGCAAGGACTTTGGGTGTGTGTGTGTGTGCAAAGGGCTCCTATTCACACTCACACTAAAGTGTAATGTGGTTTGTTTTCAGAAACTATAATATCCATACCTGTCCACTAGGGGTCAGTATTGTATATGAATCATACAACTATGTCTTAGCCAACAAATTATGATTAACAATTCTGTCTGCAGATGATGTATAAATATGAACAATAATGTTTATATGACAATGGATGCTAAATAGGTTTCTGTAAATTATGTCTTACCATATAGTTTATTGGAGAGACAGTCCTCATCTGTTTTCTCTGCAGAGACTGGTCCAGGATGGTTGAACATCTAGCAGAGCTCTCACATTTGTCAGAGCAAACAAACCCCATAACCACATCATGTTCGTGTCTCATTGGGATAATTTTATTATTTATCCAAAAATGTGGAACATGGCTGCCAGTTCTTCAGCTTGTG